ATGTATACGTATGTTATGTATGTATGTATGTATGTATGTATGTATGTAGTATGTTTGTTATGTATGTATGTATGTATGTATGTATGGTATTGTATGTATGTATGTATGTATGCTACTGTATCGTATGTATGATTGTATGATATGTATGTTATGTTGTATGTATTGTATGTATGTATGTATGTATGTATGATGTATGTAATGTATGTATGTATGTTAGATGTATGTATGGTATGTATGTATGATGTATGCTATGGATGTATGTATGTAGGTATGTATGTATGTATGTATGTATGTATGTATGGTATGTATTGTATGTATGTATCGTATTATGTATGTAATGTTATGATATGTATTGTATATGTTGTATGTATGGATGTTATTGTATGTATGTATGTATGTATGTATGATGTATGATGATGTAATGTATTGTTTGTTAATGTACTGTCATGTATGTATGCTATGATATGTATGTATGATAATGATATGTATGTATAGTCGTATGTTTATGTATGTATGTATGTATGTATGTATGATAATGTATGTATGTATTGTATGTATGTATGTATGTATGTATGTATTATTGTATGTATGTATGTATGTATGTATGTATGTATGTATGTATGTATGTATGTTATGTATGGTATGTATGTATGTATGTATGTTGTATGATATGTAGATGGTATGTAGTGTATGTATGTATGTATGTATGTATGTATGTATGTGTGTGTGTGTTGTGTGTGTGTGTGTGTGTGTGTGTGTGGTGTGTGTTGGTGTGTGTGGTATGTATGTATGTATTATGTTATGTATGATATTGTTGTATGTAATGTATGTATGTATGTATTATGTATGTATGTTATGTATGTATGTATGTCTATGTATGTATGTATGTACTGTATGTATGTATGTATGTATGTATGTATTGGTATGATGTATGTACCATCTTATGTATGTAAGTCAAGTAAGTAAGTAAGTATTGTATGTATTTATGTATGTATGTATGTATGTATGACTGTATGTATGTATGTTATGTATGTATGTATGTTGTATCGTAATTGTATGGTATGTATGTAGTATGTATTCCATGTATGTATGCTAATATGCTATTATATGTATTGTATTTATGTATTATGTATGTATGTATGTATTGTATGTTATGTCATGTATGTATGTATTGGTAGTAATGTATGTATGTAATATATGTATCGTATGTAATGCTATGTGTGTATGTATGTATGTATGTATGTATGTATGTAGTATGTATGTGATGTATGTATGTTGTATGTATGTATGTATTGGTATGTATTGTATGTAGTATATATGTTATTGTATTGTATTATGTATGTATGTATGTATGTATGTTTATGTATGTATTATGTTATGTATGTATGTACTGTATGTATTAGATGGCAGAGCTTCTAAGATGCCTCTCACCTCTCTTTCGCACCCTGCAGGCTTGGCAGCGTACGGAGTTCCACTTCAGCTCCTGAATGCAACCTCGCGAGCAGACTGGCGACGGCATTCGCTCGCTTACAACATCTCCATTTCCGGCTCAATCGTCGTCAATTAGCACGTACGAGTGGGTTTAAGGTCGCCGGCAAGTACTACAACGGCTTGCTGACCCTCAACATGTCCGAGGTGCGTTCCGCGTCGCCGAGCCGGGCAAATTCCTCCTCTCCGCCTGGCAGCCCCCCGTGCGGAAGAGCCAGATAGAAGGACGTTCCAGATGGAGGCGACATTTCTGTGCTGGTACTGCGTCAACTGTCCCGAAACTATCAGATCCCGTCAACTCGGCAGCAGGGAGTGCTTCAGTGTCCGAACGGCTTTTCTTCCGAGCGAGCGATCGTCAAAACGCGTTGCATCGCGATTCCGGGAAAATTACTTGCACTACGACAGGTGTGGGCGATCAGCGTCATGTGCTTTCTCGCACGAATCGCATCGGCGTCAACCGCGCTTCGTATTCGCCGTCTTCGTCAAAGTACAGCAAACACTCCCGTCGTCAAAGGCGTCGGCCGCCAGAGACTCAGTTCGTGTCTGCTCGCTGGAATTCTGGCCTTGCTACGTCGCAGACGGTTCCTGTGCTTCAAGCCGACCGACGTCTTCTGCTACGGTCCGTCGAGTTCGGCGTTCGGGCTTCATCTTCTCCGTCTGCTAGCGCGCTTGCCACGATAGGCAAATCCGCATCGCGCGATCTTCAACAGCTGGCAAGCGGTCGGCGATAGCGGCCGAGCTTCACTCTCACCCAAATCGCACGCATTCTGCATCTGTGGATTCGGGCTCGTCAGCGTGCAGGTGCTCGCTTTCCGGCATTTCTGGATGTTCGTTGTTCGCCGTGCCGAGCGCCGAGCACTCTGTACCGCGGTACAAGGGAGAGCACAAACGAGCTTCGATCTGCTCGCGTCGAAGGATGCGACGTACTATGATCGTCTGCGCCTTTACCCGGTGTGTCTTGATGCGTCGTCTGCCACGGCTGTACGCATCGTGCTGACGCGCAAGATCCCCGAGGCGTTCAACGAGAGCAAGTTCATCGGCTTTCACGATGTACACGACGTGCATCCTCCTGGCTCGACTTCGTGCCCCATCTAATGCTGTGCGACGCAGGGCCAACCTGGACTGTGCGTATCATTCAGCGATGTGCGATCGTCGTCAGCCTCGCGGCACCGTGTCGCTTTAATCTGCCTCTTTCACGCCGAAGATGTATATAATAGTGATGCATCCGGACGCAACGTGCGCCGCTATGATGACTAAAGCCCGCCTCGCGGCGACATCTAGCTCACGAAGCGCCGTCGAACGTGCATCAAAACTGTCTCCTTATAGAGTTGACTGGGCACGCAGTCCGGACGTAAGCCGGTAGATAATATCGATGGCGGGGTGCTGCCTGTTGCGTGTGTTATAGGCATGTGTGTGTTTTGCTTAGAGCGATGCTTTAGATGGTACGCGCATGACTTATTTGTTTTTGCTATTACTCGTCACTTCTTGCTTCAATTCTTTATTACTCCTCGCTCTTCTCCTCTCCTTCTCTTATTATATCATAAATCTGATCATGTATGTGTAAGGTTCATCCATCCTCCATTCCTTCTCACATCCATCCTATCCAATCTATCCATCCATCCATTTAATTTATTTATCCATTCATCCATTCCATCCATCTAACCATCCATCCATCCAGCCATCCATCCATCCATCCATTCCATCCATCCATCCATCTAATCCATTCTCCATCCATTCATCCATTCCTCAATCCATTTCCATCCCACTCATCAATCCATCCATCCATTCATCCATCCATTCATCATCCATCCATCCATTTCCATCCATTCTATCCATCCATCCATCCATCCATTCCATCCATCCATCCATCCATCCATCCATCCATCCATCCATCCATCCATCCCATCCATCCATCCCATCCATCCATGCCAATCCATCCATCCATACCATCCATCCATCCATCCATCCCATCCATCCATCCATCCATCCATCCATCCTATATGTATATATATATATATATAAGGGGATGTGTGACATGTAAGGGCCCCTCCACATCCTCACCCTCCTCCTCCTTCTCCTCCTCCTTCTCCTCTTCCTTCTCTTCCAGTGTGTCGCTGTACGCGACGTGTAAGAGCCCCTCCTCCTCTAGCCTGGGCATCAGAGCCATGCAGTCGTCTGTCCCGCATAGTCACACGACTCTATGGCGCGAATGCTCCACATATCGTTATTATAAATCCACGATAAAAAAACACTAATTAAATTCACTTCTAAAATACTCACTCTATTAAATCGATGACTAATCAAACTAATCTAATTCATCCGGAACACCCGCCAGCTCATCACGCAGACGATAACTACGACGTCAGGCGAAAACGTGACTGACGAAATAGCTCCATGACAAATCGCATGGTTTTTAGTAGTTTACGTGGTCTTGCTGTTATCACTAGTAAGGATGTACTGGGAGGATCATTGCGGGTGCACGCAGAAAGTAGAAGAGCAGTGATATGCGAGACTCAGTATATTCCCGCTCACATATCTACCCGCTCATGTGATCGTTTAGAACTGTTCTTCTGTGAAAGTCGTTGTCATCGACGCGGCAACGTGAGGGAGTGGGAGTAGTAAAGTTTGGCTGGATTCCAGAGAATGTGCCGGCGCCGAAGCGATATAGCGGTCAAGATATTATCATAATACTGGTCTCACAACGTTTTACATCGCCATAATCATGATGAACGGATTGCAGATATAAAAATAAAAGGAAGCCTGTTAGAATCGGCCGTATGTATAGTAGAGTAGAGTATGGGGCGCGCCATGTACACATGGGTCGCATTGAAGGTTTCACTAAATCCGCTAACGCACTCGCTCGCAGATTCGATGATTTCCGCGAATCCTCGAACACAAATATTTGGCAGCGTTTGTATATACAGATTCGACAACTTTCGACGATATTGCTCGCAAATATTTGATTTTTTATTTGGGAAATCCTCGCAAATGGTCGAACGCGTTCGAGCTGACTCGAGAAAGATTCGAGAATTTTCAGTAATGCTCGTGAACAATTGCGGGGTAGGACGCGGAAATGTCTCTCACTGATCTCACATCGCTAACGCGTATGAAGCAAAGTATATTAGTCACCTACACATAACCTCATTTAGCTATATCGTTATATTGTTTTACAGTCACATATATACATCTTGGATGGATGGATGGTTAGATGGATGGATGGATGAATGGATAAATAAATAAATGGATGGATGGATAGATGGATGGATGGATGGGTGAATGGAGGAATGGAGGGATGGATGAACTTACACATACATGATCAGATTTATCGATATAATTAGAGAAGGAGAGGAGAGAGCGGAAAAGGGAGTAATAAAGACATTGAGCAAGAAGTGACAGAGTATAGCAAAAACAAATAAGCACATGCGCGTACATCTAAGCATCGCTCTACACACACATGCTATACCACAACGCAACAGGCAGCACGCCCGCCATCGATATATCTACCGGCTTACCGTCCGACTGCGTGCCCGAGTCAACTCTATAGGAAGAACTAGTTTGATGCACGTTCGACGGCTGCTTCGTGTAGCTAGATGTCGCCGCCGAGGCGGGCTTAGTCATCATAGACTGGCGCACGTTGCGTTCCGGATGCATCACTATTATATACATCTTCGGCGTGAAGAGGCAGATTAGCGACACGGTGCCGCTGAGGCTGACGACGATGCACATCGTGATGATACGCACAGTCAGGTTGCCCTGCGTCGACAGATAGATGGGCACGAAGGCGAGCCAGAGGATGCACGTCGTGTACATCGTGAAGCCGATGAACTTGCTCTCGTTGAACGCCTCGGGGATCTTGCGCGTCAGCACGGCGTACAGCGTGCAGACGACCATCAGACACACCGGGTAGGCGCAGACGATCATGTACGTCGCATCCTTCGACGCCGAGCAGATCAGCTCGTTGCTCTCCTCCGTCGGGTACAGGTGCTCGGCGCTCGGCGGCGACACGAACATCCAGATGCCGGAAACGAGCACCTGCACGCTGACGAGCCCGAAGCAGATGAGAATCTGCGATTTGGGTGAGATGAAGCTCGGCCGCTTCGCCGACCGCTTGCCGCTGTTGAAGATGCGCGCGATGCGGTTTGTCTTCGTGAGCAGCGCCGCGTAGCAGACGGAGAACGAGAAGCCGACGCCGAACATCGACGCCGTACAGAAGACGTCGGTCGGCTTGAAGACGAGCAGGAACGTCTGCGCGTAGCAGAGCAGAATTCCAGCGAGCAGCACGAAGCTGAGCTCGCGGCCCGACGCCTTGACGACGGGAGTGTTGCTGTACTTGACGAAGACGGCGAATACGAAGCCGGTGACGCCGATGCCGATCGTCGAGAAGCACATGACGCTGATCGCCCACACGCTGTCGTAGTGCAAGTAGTTTTCCGGAATCGCGATGCACGCGTTGCGATCCTCGCTCGGAAGAAAGCCGTTCGGACACTGGAAGCACTCCTGCTGCGAGTTGATCGGGATCTGATACTGGGAGCAGTTGACGCAGTACCAGCAGCAGATGTCGCCCTCCATCTGGAACGTCTTCTTCTGGCTCTTCCCGCACGGGGGGCTGCAGGCGGAGAGAGGAATTGCCGGCTCGGCGACGCGGAAGCGCACCTCGGACATGTTGAGGGTCAGCAAGCCGTTGTAGTACTTGCCGACCTTAACCCACTCGTACGTGCTATTGACGACGTTGCGCCGGAAATGGATGATGTTGTAGCGAGCGATGCCGTCGCCAGTCTGCTCGCCGAGTGCATTCAGGGCGAAGTGGAACTCCGTACCTGCCAAGCCTGCGGGTGCGAAAGAGAGTGAGAGGAGCATTAGAAGCTGCTGCCATCTAATACATACATACATACATACATACATACATACATACATACATACATACATACATACATACATACATACATACATACTATACATACATGACATTATCATACACAATACCTCACATACATACATATATTACATACATACATTACCGTACATACAGTGAAGCCTACATAACATGAGGCATACATACATACTATACATACATACCTACATAAATACATACATTACATACTACGGTACATACATCACATAACTACATACATACTACAAGCATACACTACATACATACATACATACATAGCGAGGTACATACATACATACATAAGCATAGCATACATACATACATCACATACATTACAGTACATACTTACTATACTTACTTACTTAATACATACAGTACATACATACATCATAGCTACATACATACAGTACACTTAGCATACATACATACATATACAACTTACATCACATACGAAGTACCATACATAACCATACATACCTACTACATACATGCATAGCAGTACATACATACAACATACATACATACATATATACATACATACAGCACACACCCACACACACACACACACCTCGCGGACACAGCCACCACACGACCCAGCACACAGCCCACACACACATACATACATAGCGATACATACATACACATACATAGCATGACATACATTACATACATACAATAACATACTACATAATACATACATAGCATACATACATACATTAAATACATACATACATACATACTACATACATACATAACATACATACATACATACACATACATACATACATAACATACATACATACATCCATACATACATACATAACATACATACATACATACATACATACATACATACATACATACATAGCATACATACATACATACATACATAGCATACATACATACATACATACTCACATACATACCATACATACATACATACATAGCATACTAACCGATACATACATACATCTACATACATACATACATACATACATACATACTAACATACATCATACATAGCATACAACATACATACATACATACAGGTGACCATACATAGCATACATAGCTACATACATTACTACATACATACATACAGCATACCTTACATACTATAGCATAGCCAAATACATACGAGTACATACATACATAGGCATACGATACTACATACAAGCAGTACTAGCAGAGCATAGCATACATACATACATTACTACAGTACATACATACATACGATACCATACATACATACAGTTACATACATACACTAGGACGTCAAGTACATACGATACATACATACATACAATAGCAGATTATACATAGCATACATACATACATACGTACATAGTTACATAACATCCATACATACATACATACATACATACGTGACATAAATACACTACATACATACTTACTCTACTTAAGCTTACTCTACTTACATTACTGTACTTTACTTACTTACCTTACTTACATACATACATCACATACATACATACATACATACATACATACATGACATATCATACATACATACAGTAGCATACATACCATCCACTACATATCATAGCATACATACATAGAGCATACAATACATACCATACATACATCACATCCATACATACGATTACATACATACATACATAGAACATACATACATACAGTGACATACATAGCATCCATACAAGCATAATACATACATACATACATACACTACATACATACATACATACAATAATACTACCTACAATACATACAGTACCTACATCGACATAATGACATACATGACGCATACATACATACATACTTACTCTCAGCTTACTTACTTATGTACCATATATACATACATACTAATACATAATACATACATACGATACATAGCATACATACATACCATTAACATACATACATACATACATAGCATACATACATACATACATGACATACATACATTACATACATACATACACTACATACAGTACATTACAATACAGGTACAAGCGTGAGAGTGAAGGTACATACATACATAGCATACATACATACATACATACATACCATTAACATACATACACTTACATACATACGCATACATAGCATACATACATACATACATACATACATACATACATACCATACACTAAGCATCACATACATTACATACATACGATACATACATACATACATACATACATACATAGCATACATACATACAGTACATGCATGGCACGCCAGCGCACGCAAGCGCACACGACACACACCACATCATGCATTAATGGGTGAGTACATACGATATCATAGCATACATACATACCATACATACATACATAACTACATACATACCCATCCCAATATCATACATACACTAGCATTACCATCACATACATAATACACTACATCACATAGCATACATACATACATAACATACACTTACCATACAGTACATACCATCCATACATACATACTACATACATACGTGACATAACATACACTACATACTACATACATACACTACATACATTGAGATACATACATATCATACGATACATACATACATCCATAATACATACATCTACCATACATACATACATCATACATACATACATACCATAGCTACAGCTAATACATACATACATAATACATACTAACATACATACCATACATACATATCATACATAACATACAAGGAGCAGTACATACATACATACCACTACATACATACATACATACATAGCGATCACAATCACATACATCAGCATACATCACATTACATACATACATGTGACATACATACATAGCATACAGCTACATACGATACATACATGATGCATAGCATACATACATACATACATACATACATACCATACATACCTACATACATACATACCAGTCCATAGCATATCATACATACATACATACATAACATACATACATACATACATACATAACATAATACATAACATACATAATACATACATACATACATACATACATACAGACATACATACAGTGTACATACATACATACCATACATACATACATACATAACATACATACATAATACCATACATACAGTACATACATACATACATCAGCATACATACGCCGTAAGCATACATACAGTACAACATACATACGATACATACATACATACATATCATACATAGGCACTACAGTACATACATAACAATGACATCATACATACATACATACATACATACATACATACACTACATACTACATACATACATACATACATACATACATACAATACCATACATACATACTACATCCATTACCTGACATACAGTACATACATACATACATACATACATACAGTACATACATACATAACAATAACATACATACATACATACATACAAATACAAGTACATACATACATACATACCATACATCCATACATAGCATACATAAATACATAGCATACGTAGCATACGATACATACCTACAAGTACATACATACCATCATACTACATACATATCATACTAGCAACATCAATACATACATAGACATACATATCATACCATACAGTACATACATTCATCATCACACGTACACTAATCGTGACATACCAATAGTGCATACATAGGCTCACATACGCGCACCGGTACATCTACATTACATCTAACATACAATAGCAATTCTACATACATACCTTACATACGTAACATACAATACATACATCACCATACGTACATAAATACATACATATCATACATACTTACTTACTTACTTACTTAGTCTTACTTAACTTAGCTTACTTACATACGATACAGTCATACATAGCTATACATACAGGTACATACTAGTACATACATACATACATTACACTACATACAGTACATCATAACATAGCAACTACATACCTGCATACATACATACGATACATACTTACTTACTTACTTACTTACTTACATGATGATGACATACATACATACATACAGATAACTACATACATACACTAGCATACAAGTACATTACATACATACATCCATTACAGTTACATACAAACCATACATAGCATACATACATACATACATAATCGCATAACATACATACATCATAGCATACATACGTACATCATGACAGGTACATACATATCCTACGAGTACATAAATGACTCATACATAGCATACATACAGCTACCATACATACATACATACATACATACAGTACATACATACATACATAACGTAGCATACATACATACATACATAGCACTACATACATAGCATACAATACATACCTACATACATACATACATGCCATGGCATGCATGGCTGCATGCCATGGGCATGCGACGCGACGCACGCGAGCAGGCACGGCCACGCAGCCCACACAACATCGCACACAAGCACCAGCACCATCAGTACGGCATTAATGTAGTACAACATACATACATACATACGATACATACATACATACATACACTACATACCTACATTACAGTAATAATACATTTACATACATACATACATACATACTACATACATAAATACATACATACATACATCCATCACATACATATCATACCATACATACATACATACATACATACATACAGTACATACATAATACATACAGTTACATACAACATACATACAATACATACATTACATACATACATACATACATAGATACATACCATACCTCACACTACATCATACATACAGGCTACATCAGCATAGCATGACAGCTAGCGATACATACGTAAGCATAGCATACATACAATACAATACATACATTACATAGCATACATACATACAATAATACAGTACATACATTAACATACATCACATACATACGACTACCATACATACATACATTACATCCATACATACATACATTACACTACAGTACATACAGTACATACATACATACAGTAGCATACATACCATACATAAACATAGCATATCATA